GTAATGCGTGCATTTCGTGGCAGCAGTCGCAGCACACTGATTTTGTCTTGCCTTATTTTCACTGCTTGAGCCTCAGAAGACCGAGCCGACCAAATACGAAGTTGTCCGGTCCGTTCAGCGCATTTTTTCGGTGTTGAAAAAGTTTGTTCTACATGTCTAGTCTATGTGTTCTCTGGTCAGTGGTAAAATGGAAGCGATTGATTGTGTTTCTCGTATACTAAACGTACAAATACGTTGATCAATGAATGAAATACTTTCGGTTTTCTGTATTATAATTGGGTCTACTGGATTATTATAACGGCCAATTATTAAATCTTGTCTTAGTATTCGTAGGAACTGATTGTATTGCACTATTTCACTTTGAACTTAGACCTAATTTTAATTAATCTACAACGAATCTGATATTAATTTTCCGATTTGTTAAGCACTCACTCACGCACCCACACATACTATCACACAAAGCCCCAAACAGCTGTTCGCAGTTACCTTGTTATCGATAGTCGCGCTTATCGTTGGCCGCAGTAAGTGGACAGCGCTGCGCGCGAAAAATCGAAATATTTAAAAATAAAATAATTATTTATTGCATTTCGCATGGATAAATATTCATACAAGAGAATGCCTTACAAAACTAGAGTTATCTATTCTAATAGGGTGGCGGCTGATGGGGGTACTGCTGCTGTCCCATCATATTCGGTTGATTGGTCATCTGTCGCTGCAGCTGGGCAACTAAATTGGGAGTTTGCTGTTGATTCATGCTCTGCTGTTGTTGGACCATTCCACCACCACCGCCAGCACCCGCACCGCCAGCTCCTTGTGGTCCGCCACCCATGCCGCCGCCGGCCATGCCTTGCATTTGCATCATTTGTTGGTGACGAAGTTGCTGCTGCTGGAATTGTTGCTGTGCCGGCAATACGCCCGGCTTGCCACCACCGGTTGGCTGCTGGCGTCCATAGGGAGGCACCTGTCCAACCCCGACACCCACACCACCTGGTCCAGGTCCCATCATGTTGGTCATAGTCACATTGGGTGCTTGGTTCATATATTGGCCACGATTGCCGGCCATCATACCACCAGGTACTCCGCGTTGTTGCTGCTGTTGTTGTTGCTGCTGCTGTGCAACTACCGCCGCTGCCATAAAATCTGGATTGTTACGTTGTGCTTGCTGCATTTGAGGATTGAAATTGTTCATAAGGCCAGCTTGCTGTTGCTGTTGATTCGGCGTCATGCCCACGCCAACACCGCCTCCTCCGCCGCTTTGCTGCTGCATGCCTTGCTGCTGTTGCTGCTGCTGATACTGATTTTGGAAATTTTGGAACTGTACCTGCTGCTGCTGCTGCTGGATCATGCCTTGCTGTGGCATACCACCCATGCCCATATTGGGATTGTTGCCTCCAGCACCAACACCGACGCCCACACCAACACCAACACCTCCATTGCCACCTGTTCCGCCGCCTTGCATCATCGGATTGGCATTTGGATTGACCATGCCCACCATGCCTTGGGCCATTTGCTGCTGCTGCATCATCGGGTTCTGYGGCATGCCTTGACCAACCATATTCATGCCACCCATTTGATTTGGAGCCATGGCACGCATATTCCCACGCATGAATTGCTGTTGCTGCTGTTGTTGTTGTTGCTGCTGCAGCTGCTGTTGATTGGGATTCATTTGTTGCTGTTGCTGTACATTCGGCTGCTGTTGTTGCATGGCATTAAACGCGGCCGCTGCCTGCGGATTCTGTTGTGCATTCATTTGCTGCTGCTGCTGCTGTTGCCGCAGCTGTTGTGCATTCATTTGCTGCTGCTGCGGTCCTTGCTGCTGCTGCTGTTGTGCCTGCTGCTGCATGGGATTAAATCCACCTGGTGGCTGTTGTTGTTGCTGCTGGAACGAGCTCGGCTGCCGCTGTCGCAGCATCTGCGACAATGCTTGCTTCGAGTTGGTATTCAACGGCGGTCGCTCAATACGATTCACTACAAGTACAACAAATTGTTGACTACATACATCTGAATGGAATTCCAGAGCAACTTACTTTGCATGTTCTGCTGATGTTGATACTGATTGTGATACTGTTGCGGTTGCTGCTGCGGCTGCTGGGGCGCATTGTGCCATTGCTGTTGTTGTTGCTGCTGGTTGGACATGCCCTGTGGTCCACCGGGCCCTGGTCCCTGCATAAAGTTCATCTGTGTATTCGGCTGCCCATTGGCGCCCACGTTCAGCTGCTGCTGCATTTGATTTGGACCCATTTGTTGCATCTGCTGTTGTTGCTGCTGCTGTTGCTGCATCAGTGCATTCTGTTGCTGCATCATGGCGTTGGGTCCAAATTGTTGCATGTTCATCTAGTTGGGAAAATCGAATCAATTTGTATCCAAGTTTTAGTTTTCAGTCACATGTAATGAGACGAACCTGCATATTCATGGGCATCTGTCCCATCTGGTTGGGCTGCATCTGCTGTTGCATGTGCTGCTGTTGTTGCATTTGTTGTTGTTGCTGCTGTTGCTGCACATTGGGCGGCTGTTGCGGTTGTGGGGCCAGCTGTGGCTGCTGCTGTTGCGTATTCACCACTGGCGGTGTCTTTGAAACCTTTGGCTTGCGTTTGCGCGTCGTGGTGCCTTTGCCACGACCACGTCCAGTTCCACCAACTACAGCGCTAGGTGACTGATCCACCGACGAGGGCGTATCGGCCTTCATCATTTCATCCTTCTGCAAAAGTATGTTCAGTTAATTACTTGCAAGAGTCCAAAGTACTGTGCAACTTACGATGCATATCTTCTCTGGAACTGGCTCAATGTCCTCCGGCGGCAGCGGCAAGGGCTCATAATAATAACTACTGGGCTTGACCAGACTGTGTGTGTGGTATTTGAGATTGCGATGCGCCTCCTCGTACGTAAGCGGCTTACGCTCCAGCTTGACGGCACCGAACCATACCCATGAGAGCGGTGCTGGATTCTTGTGACCCTCCAGAATGTCCCAGACGCTGATGCGCTGCTTATCCGAGATGCGCAGCTGCTTTTTGTCCATGTCGCAAATCTTGTTGCCCTTGGTATCCATGCCCGCATGCTCGCAGGCTATTACCTGAAAGAAGACAGCTTTTAAATATATCTTGAGGTTAATGTTGATTGATAACAAACCTCTGTGGGCTGCTTATAGAGTGGTAGAAGTTGCCGTATGACGCGTATCGAAGCGTTATTCTTCTCGCCAATTTCCTTCTTGAGTTTCTTCATCAAATTTAGATACAACTTCTTATTCTCATCACGTTCCGATTGGCTATCGGAGACAAGCGTCGAGTGCACTAAAGTGGCCAGCATGTCCACCACAGTGGTAAAAAGCTCTCGATTGCAGCTTAGATCTACGACACCCTGACAAACCAGTTGGGCGAGCAGTATGGCCCAGTCCATGGTGGGAGTGCTGTTCTTTTGTATGGCATCGAACATGCCGCCCACCAACGAAAAGCGCAGCTGTAGTGCATCAAGAATCTCCTCACGTGCTTGCGGCTCATCGATACCGCCAATGGTGTCCAGCTATGAGATGGAATCAAATATTAGCAATCAAAATCTATAGGTTGATGAGACTCACATACCTCAGAAAAGGATTGCAGGCACTGGGAGAGCTGCGAGTAGAGTGATACAAGTAGATTCTCTTTGTATTCATCCTGGCCCTTGAGACAAGTGAGTATAAGGCCCAGGAAAGGCTGATAGTTGAGCGGCATCTTCTTGTTGCGTGCCGCCATACTCCCGCCAGCGCCGTAGCTATTGCTACTATGACAGCTGTTGCTCTTCTCGCGCTCGTCGCCGCTGCCAGAGCTGTTGCAATCGGATTTGGACACTTTCGAAAAATAGTTCATGCTTTCGAGTACTTGACCAGCTACGCGCAAGATGCGCCCCTGCACAGCTGGCGTTAACTTGGCAATGAGCGGTGCTACCAACCAAGTGGACGGCTTGGGCTTATGTATGGGCTTCTGGGCGCCTGGAAGCGTCACCTCTTCCATGTGGAACACATCAATTGCTGCTCGTGCCACCGTGTCCAGCCAAACGTTGAGCTCGGTATTGTTGCTGACCGATGTGTTGTTGCTCATCGATTGCCGATACATTAGCTGCAAGTCCAGCCAGGATATGCGCAGAGTCCATTGATCTAAATTCTCCAATATGCGCACTATCATCAAGCGCTGATCCAGCTCTGATATAATATTGAATTCCGCCTCCGGATAGCAGATCATGTGCAGCACCCGCTGCGCCTGCTTGGCGGTCAGCATCTCATCGATAATCATGTCGCATAGCTGCTCAGCATTCTTCAAGCAGCGCTCGAGCACATGCTCCTGCGCACAGATCTGCTTGAGTACCGCCTGCGCAAACTCCAGCAGTGAGATTTGCTCGTTGCCCGCCAGGCTGCTGCCAGTTGGCTGCTGTAGGGACTCCTGTTCACTTCCCAGGCTGCCTAGCTGCAGATCGCTAGTTCCCAGTATCTGGCTGAGATCTGCCGGTCGTTGCTCGTTACTCTTGGGCGTGCTCCCAGGATGCACAGGCGTATTGAAACCGCTGCGTTTACCGCTGCCAAAGGCGCTGCCGCTCCCAGAGGAGCCCAAGCCGCTGGCACCGAGCGGCGTCTTCAGCGCCGCATTATCCACCACAATGAGAATGGCCTTAAGCACAGCTAAAACTGCCGCAATCGGTATGGTTTTGTGTGCGCCCACAAGCAGATGACGATCACAGCTTAGACGTATGCTAAAATCATTTCCAACTGCATGCAGCGGATTGGGGGATGTGCTGACCGAGTACATGCCCGGCTGTGGGATTTCCAGGGTCTTGAACAGTTTCAGTACTAGATGACAGGTGAGCCGTGCGCCTGCTTCTGCATCCACGCTTAGTTCTCCGCCACTAGCGCCGCTAACCGAACGCGCCAGAGTGGGCAGCGCAAATTTACTAACGAAGTCCGCAAGGGAAAAGCAATGTCGCGCCACCAGAATGCATACGAAGACGGCGAGCGCATTGTGCGTTTTGCTTTGGCCAATGTCCACTTGAGCCCCAAGATGAGGATATCTTGGACTCTTGCTGCCGCTGCACAAGCTCTGCAAGGCCGCGATCCACTCCTCGGAAAGAACATTGCAGCTGGCGGTTAGCTCGGCGCAGGCGAGCGCTACGTCGTTTAAACGTTCGTTGTCCGTTTCTCGGCAGACGGCGATGACGGCATTGGACACAAAGCTGTAAACGTTGGCAGGGGATTCATGCAGCTGACGCAGCCAGTGGGACTCCAATTTGCCACCACGTCGCGGCGCCACAAACAGCTCCTGCAGCAGTTGCGGATTGTATCCTTGCGGGGCCATGCTGTTAAATATCAGGGAATGATTAAACTTCTTGGATGAGCAATTATCATAAAGTAACTTACCTCAGCTGTTCGGGTGTATTGAAGATATCCTTGAATCGCTTGATACAGTTCAACTGTTGATAATATTCGGCTGCCTGTTCCTTGCCCTGCAGCAGTATGCAGGACTCGTGCAGATCGCTTAGATAGGCAAGTATACAGCGTTCCGCGGAGCTGCATTCGCTGGGATTGCTCACATGACGTATGGTGCGACAAAGTCCCTCAAAGACGGATACCGTCTGCTCGGGCGAGAGCAACAGGCAGCTGTGATAGCGTCGCAGTATGCTGACAATGTAGAGGGCCAGCGAGGTAGTATAGCTACGCACCATATTTGACTTCTTCTGCTGCAACTGATGCTCCACCTCGGGTAATTCTTTAAGCAAATTATCGCACAGCTCGAGCAGACTGTAAATGTTAAGCGCAAGCTCCATTAGATCGAATAGAAATGCAACGTGCTCCTGCACAGGCAAATAATTATTGTTGCCCAGGGCAAAGCCATTCAGTTGCTCCAGAACATTGGCCGCACACTGAGCGGTCACCACATGCTGATCGAAGTAGGCCATTTGCTGGCACTTGGCTGTAGTGGCCTCAAAGTTGAACTCATTGCGTGAGTGCTTCTTTACCTTGCCGCCTTCGGCCACATCGATGCTGAACTTCTTTGTGAAGAGTTTGCCAATCTCTTTGGACATTTTCTTAACAGCGTGCTTCTTTTCGTCGCGCTCCTTGCCTACGCCATATAGCAATATATAGCGCTGATTGCTTTCGCTGCTGTAACTGGACATGCTGGGATCGTCCTGCGGTATGGGAAAGTGCTTGGTGTACACGTAGTGTCTGGATATGCTGACGCCAGTGGCGGGTGTGTCAACGCCACCCTCTCCGTCGCCAGGTGGTCCAATTTTTGGACTATCGGGAGCCTCGTGCTGTTGTCCTTTTTCCTTAATATTTTGCACCAACTTATCCAGATCATCATCCACATTGGAGTCATCGAACTCATTGTGCTTAAAGTCAATGCCGATGCTTGACCCGAAACCATCGTCATCGAATCCGTGAGTAGTTGCACTACTATTAGGAGGCGGCGGCGCTGGCGGCGGGGGTGAGCTTTTCGCTGTTGTCTTGTGCACGAGCATCGATTCCAAGAGAAGATCGCCACGCGAGATTAGCGTGTGCATGTACGCATTATGCGAGAAGACATCGTGACGTATAAGAGCACTGAACAGCTGTACTAAATTAGTGAACTCGGTGCGCTGCTGTGGAGTGCTATTATGTTCATCCAAAACGGGCGCATCGTGATCCAGAAAGTGCATTAGAACGTGCTGAAAGACGGGCAGACCGTCAATAATGCCCGCACCAGAGGCCAGTGAGTCCTTATCCTCTTTATCGCCACATTGATCAGCCGGCGTACTAGTTACATCGATCTGACGCTTGTCCAGTAGAATTGCCACTACAATGGCTCGATGCTCTCCCCAACGCTGGCTGGATACTGCCCACTCGCAAAGGATACGCACCGTATCCGCATCCTGCTTTGGCTCGTATGGCGGACGCGGCTGCTGTTGCTGCTGTGGATCCTCCTCGGGACGGCGTAGCTGTGTGCTTTGTGGTGGAAATATATGTGCATAGAGCGTGTCAATTGAATTGCACTGATCCATGCGCTCAAAGCAGTGCGTGTCCAGGTGATCCAACGTTGCAAGCACAGTGGTATAATGATTCTTTCCAGCGCTCAGCCACTTGGAAGCGAACCAGCGTTGTTCTGCGTGCTGCGTGCGCAATACTATCTCCGCCTCAGCAGCACGTAGCTGTCGGCGGAGCTCGTGGTTGGTACGTGGACAACGAGAAGGCATTGGCAAAACCGAGGGAGCCAGTGGCAAATGATCAAGGGGACTGCCTACTAGGGATGAGGGCGCACGGTGTGCTGCTATGCCGCTCCACACCAACGCCGTGGGACACTCGATGGTAATCACCTGCAGTATGGTGCTCAAATACAGAATAATGTCACGATGATGCGGGCAGTTCATATAGTCATGAAGTGCCTGTTCATATGGATCAATATTTGGCTGTTGTTGCTGTAGCTGTTCGTCGGCCCCATCTATCTCCATGGCCTGCGACTTGATTACCGCCTGTTGTTGTTGCTGCTGTTCAACAGCCGCGTTGAGTAGCTGAGCCAGCTTTTTGGCCACTAGATTTGCCATCTTACGGCACAGCCGCTCGGACTGGACAAAATCGTGCATATACTGCAATGCAAAGCTCAGCACTAGTTTCTTTAGGTGCTCATCGAAACTGGCCTGTGTGCGCATCTTGTCCAGCAGATCCAATATCCAATTGAGAAACTCTTGGCGATCAAGCAACGACTCCTCGTACATATACTTGCTTAACTGGTGGCAATACTTCCAGTATTTTAGCGCATTGCGACTATCCTCGAACTGACTGCCAATACCCGAGATACTCGAGCCGGGCGGCACAGCACCTGCATTTGCTCCAGCTGCGCCACCAGTAGCAGAGCTACCTAAAGTAGCCAGCGCTGTACCTGGTGGCGCAGATGCTCCGGTCACAGCGCCGCCAGCTGCAGCATTGCCGGCGGCACTGGTCTGGCCATTAGCTGGACTGTGTATGGGAGGCAGTGGACTGGACATGCTAGGCACCGGTATTACGTTGGATGTGGCACTACTCACACTGCTGCTATTGCTGCTGCTGTTATTGTTGCTGCTGCTGCTGCTGTTCGCAGTGCCATTGCTGTTACTGCTTACACTGCTAGTGGTAGGTGAGTTGCTGCTTCCATTCGCTTGTATTCCATTCTTATCGTGCGCTAAAACGAAAACGGTTATGATACAGTCCATAATGATTAATTCTTTCTTACGTTGTTGATAATATTCCTGCAACTTGGGCAAGAGCTCCTTCATGAACTTGATCATATTGCTTGTCCATTCCGCTGCTGGATCATATATGCTGCGCTTTTTGTTCTTCGACTCAGTAAAACTTAGAGTGTACGCGGCGCTGAGTTTGATAAACCAGGTGGCTCGTTGCATATTGACTTGGTTCTCGCATAGCGTTATAAAGATTTCCTCCTTTTTGTTAAAAGAGGGCGCACGTTTAGCCAAACTAAGCAGCGGCTTATTGCCAGCCAAATCCTTAAACCACGCATCCACTGTACACTTGCGACGCGGCGACACCGGCCAAAAGTTGTCCTTGCAATTAATTTGCTGTTTCTTTCGTACCGTGTCTTGTAGCGTCATCAACTCCTCTTTTTTGGCTAGCACTCCGCTAAAAAACGCGCTCACCTTGCTAGCATTCACATTCGAGGTGTGCGCTGTGCCGAATTCGTCAGTAAGCTGTGGCGCCGTTGTAAAGCCATGTTTCACATGAGTGGGCGTCAATTCGTCCTCGCGCTGCTTGGCGTCTTGCGGATAGATATCCGGTGGCCCCAGACGTGTGCGCTTTAGTGGCCGCTTCTCCTGCAACAACGAAAGCATCGTTGCGGCTTTTAAAATGTGTTTTTACGCAATTATTTTGCAATTTTCTTCGTAATTTTCACTTTGCTCAGACACAACAAATAACACGAAAACAAATGTATGTATATCGTTATCGGACAGTCGATTTTCATTGCAATGTAGGATTTTACAACACTTAATAATTAGGGATGAGCATATTACCGTCTTATCGATAGCCAAGATTATGATTGTTACAAACTTTAAATTAATTTCTTGTTTATAAAAAATTAATTTAAAGTTTGTAACAATCATAATCTGGGCTACCGATAAGACGGCAATATATATATAGACGGTAAT